TCAATACGAGCCGACGGTGTTTGATGATTGTGTAAAAACACAAATAAAATCGGTAAACCAAAACAAAATGACCTGTTATTGATTGGTCCCTTTTAGGGTTGAAATTTCAGCACTGCCACGCCCATCATCTCATCATCTCTCAGGTCCCTTTTAGGGGTCATTTTCACAATCTCCGCCGAGGACCCCCGCCCTTTGATATTAGGGAGTCCCCCCCCGGGACATGTACTTGTGATCTTCTCCGGCGGAATCTCTTCATTTTGCGCTTTTGGGATGCCTGTGGTATCGTATTGGGCCCGAATAGTCCAGTTCCAGACCCTTGAACTGTTGGTCGCGGGAAAAAGATTCAACAAGAAATCATCCAATAAGAAACGATCAGGAATTACAGGCATTATTTGTTGCACGAACCCCAACATGTAAAAAAAAAACCCGCGTGCTGATTCGTTTGTAGAAGCAATTCATTCAACTAAAATTGAAAATTCTATATGTTTACAAAGTTTCAGTATGCATGAATAGCAAAAGATCAAGACATTCACCAATACAACTATGTCGGGGATAACAATGAAAGGTGATTGTCGAGGTGAGATTACACGACTTTTAACATTTAAAAATGTTCAAACAAAATTTCACTTACTGGGTTTGACAAATTGAGACTAAATGGAGACAAAGTTGAAAATGGAGTGAATGTGTGAAATTGGAGATTAAATGTTTACCTCAGACTTTCTTACAGTATAAATCAGTTGTTTAGCAAAACCCATAACTATTTTCGGTCGTGCAATCTCAGTTTGACAATCGACATTCGCCATTTTATCCGACAACCTTTTTTGAAATGCAAATATCTTAAATTTGAAACTGACTTATCCAATCTAATGTCCGATTTCGATAATAGACATTAATGCACTGTTTTACATTTAAAATAGCTTAATTTTGATGCAAATTTATATTTTGATGATGCGTTGCTGCATATAAGTAGCTCATACAAACACGACAAACACCACAACACTGTACACATAGACTGGTGAGCAGAGTGTACTCCAAAGAGTCTAGGACTGGACTAGSGCCCACCAAGAAATGAGGGGGTCTCACCCTGACATGTTGAAGAAGCCTTGACCGCCAAAGGCAAAACACAAAAACAATGAAATGGATATGAATTAAAACAAAGAACATACCGATGCATGAAGTCTTCGAATCCACAGGTAACCCGAACACACCAAGCTGGAAAACTTGAATAGGAACTCACGGCTTTCATCCGGGTCTCCACCGAACATTAAAAAGATTGTTGAAACAAACCAATCATGACCTGGGTACTCTACACTTAGAGTGCCTTTAATATTTGTCAAGGATATGTGCATTATACGTAAAGGCGCGTACTTGTATGAAAAGCGCGTAGAAAAACGACCCACGTCACAGGGTCGCACCAGCAATCTTTCGCACCAGCAATCTTTCGCACCAGCAATCTTTCGCACCAGCAATCTTTCNAATCCAATATTCACCTATAGGTGAACATCGCTCATTGAAGCGTCAAATTCGACCAATCAGCGCGCTAGAATTATGATATTCACTTATGAAATTATACTAACATCAGATTACCCCCATTATCTATATGCATCTTCTTCATTGCTGTCATCGTTTTCCCCATCAATACCATTCCCAATATCATCTAAACATAGAGTAAGGATACGTAAGGTTGAGTCAGGGACTTTCTGTTGACTGCGCATAAAAAACTTGGCGTATTTCAAGAGATGTTGAAGGTCTTCTGTAGAGTCACCCTTGGACTGCAAGATCTTCAGCTGTAACCCATAACGTATGACCAACTTGACGCCAAGGCTCTCGATTGAAGACAAATCTGTGTTTTTAAGACTTAACTCACCAACTGAGATTAAAGGAAAGAAAATTCAGTTTTTCTCCACAAATGTCTGTGTTTTGAAGGAATACTCATAAAATACAAATGCCAATACTTCTTTGCATTCTAAATTAGGCAAGAATGTTCGTATATCATTTATATGTTGTCTTAGAGAGACTTATGAGAGACTGGTCCTKCAGATTGAACTAAATGCCAAAAAATTTCAGTGATTATCTATGAAATACCTCGAAGATAAAATCCCTATCTCCACGCACACATGTAATATCAATTGCTAATCGTATTCAAGAAATTGCCATCCTACCTGAGAATTCTATAAGTGGGAAAATTGATTCCTCGGGAATGTTAGTTAAAACGTGRCAGACAGATTCTAGGAGTAGCTTCAGAACTACAAATGTGAAGATAATATTAGTCTAACGTGAAATGGATAGGAATGAACGAAATGAGCCAAATGAATGCATGAAATACAATGCAACTACACAATGTTTTTTTCATACGTTGTGTGCAAATATGTAACATGAAAAACAACACAGTATTTTTGCACTGTTTGTAATAAAATCAGACTTTACCTTTTGTTTTACATTTGAAGCCACCACTTTTTATTGTTTTACAAAACAACTCTCTGAATTTCTCAAGCCACTCGATGCTTTAAACGAAAGTATTGTTATAAAATAGTGACCGGGTATCTTACAGTACATAATTCCTCTAAATCAACCATTTATCGAATTGTCATAGCTCYTGTTCCCATACCATTTTTATTTTGTTAATTCACTTGAAGAATCAAACACAACAACATTTCYTCCTTCAACTGCACAACTGTCTGTACCATCCAGTTGAACTTCAAACCAATTCAAATAKGTTGGACTAACAATCAATTACATCAAACACCCAACCAACAAATCAACCAGTCAGTTTGTCCACCTGAACGACCAACATTCTTTGTTAATCCATTTGATTTCATATTAATTCTCTAGTTTACCTTTCGTCTTTCGATGGTTTTTCTCCTTCCAGGAACTCAAGAATGCTGTCACCTAAAGGTAAATGAAGATATTCGTTTTTCGCGATCCACTACTGTGTAATAGTTATGATACCTAATGTACRCTCTTACCTTCTTCAAAAGCATTTGTGATGACGGCGTAGTCCTGGACGACATAGTCCTTGGGAGGTGGGAACGATGAAAAGAGAGGCCAAGGGTATGGCTTGCTTTTATCCTGATGAAACACAGTTTTTGTATTAGCTAATTGTGTAGACAGGTGTAGTAGAGCCTTTCTAACAGTAGTCCCTCGTCATATCTAGAATTCATTTTATAATGAACAGGTAATTCCCAAATTGCAAAAAAAATTCTGAATTTTCAGTGTAAATCATTTACACGGAAAATTCAGAATTTTTTTCGCAATTTAGGAATTAAAAGACCAACAGTGTTGGTCTTTTATTAACTTAAAATAATTTTTATACCTTCTTTGGGATCATTTTAGCATTTTTCTTTGAAATAGTGTAAGGGTTTTGTTGGAAACAGACACAATTAGTCGTTACCTCAGTTAAGTCTCTGCCTGGTAGTATCCTCTCCGATGGTCCTCCGACCCAATAGGACTTTACTAGAATTTGGTTGCGTTCAATAGAGCACCTGTCTATGATGTAGTCTTTGCTATTAAAACAACATAATTTGAGTGGATAATAATTTGAATGCAATCAATCATACTACCATTTCATCGATGCTTACTCACCCATTTTCAAGTCTGTTGTCCAACTGAGCCTGCAGTAATAGTTCTGTGAAGTGGTATGTTGATTCCAGGAAAAGCAAGGTGTCAAGACAGGAGCATAATACGTTTAAAACCCTGAAAACATGATGAAGGGGAAAAAATCATTATAAAATTGAATACGCACTTGARACAATTGAAAAGCTGCAGTTCAAATCTTATCGTTATTTTGAAGGAGAGTTTCCAATTCCTTGAATTAATTGTAAATATTATTTCATAACATTCAATATTCCGGTCGACTAACGACTCGCAAAAGATATGAAGTGGGCTATTGCCTTGTGACATTCCCCTAATGCCTACCTCAATCCAAAGTGGTGTGACTGCTCATAATTAAACAGTGAGCTGATTTTAGAATCAGAGTCGATGAAAATCAGCCTGTTAATTAGTTCCTGAATTGAAAAAAGTGTGGTAAAAATAATTAATTTAGTCATGATGGTCTTTATTATCTTAAATTGTCTATCTGTAATAATACATGTAGATACCTAGGAATAGCAACATAATTCCATCACCAACATCACAATTATAAGCGACAGGATAATTATTRGTATCATCACCATTATCGTACACCATCATCATCATCAACTAAGTGTAAATCCATATTATGAAAAAAAATAAACACTGGAAGACTTACAGCAAACGTCACTGGGGCATCCAATTCATGTTCCACAGGTTTGATTTCTTCAACTTCTGATGTTGATGTTGATGGTCTGTTATGTACAGTCAACACCTCATATACAGCAGGGAAGGCAGAAAACACGCTCAGTAGGTTGTTGAGTGCCTGTTAAACACACAGACAGTTTCTAATAATACATTCAACAATTGATGACACAAGCGGCAAAGAAATACAGTATCGCAGGACAAATGAGTCTAACACAATGAGCACATACCTTGCTATAAGCTCTACTATCAATTGTATCAATATGTTTTATAATTGGCTGTAAACGTCTGTCATATAGTCCTTCAAATACCAACCACACATCTTGAATAAGTCGCTGCAAATAGCCTTAAAACAAAAGAGTAATATGAGGAATGACCACCAGAAGAGAATAAATCGCACTGTACGTGTTTTTCCAAAAAATATTTKAGCAAGTTACGACCACTATAGAAATTCTATCTATATAGCTGTTGATTAATCTGTCAAAAGTCACACAATAATACCAGCATTTTTCTCTCTGGATTTGTATACCTTTCTTTTCTAGTGCTACTATTCCTGGTGCTGTTGCGGCAAACTGACATACCATCACCCCGTATCCAAACTTTTCACACTTACTGACCTAAGAGATGTCAGAAGAAAGTATAATAGAGACCAGTTATATATTGAGCTTTATTTTGTGTTAGTACAATTGAGGGGTGTTCAAATGATAATGCTTTCCCTCCATAATATAGAGCCAGCAAAACTAGAGCCATTAAATGTTAACATTATATTATATGTTGTTGTAGTCTCCTTTTTGCAGCCTACCCTTTTGTCAGGCTTCCTTGGGAGGGACAGGAATGGTGTGATGTATAGTAAGGTGCATATAGGAAGTGTGACATAGATCAGAGGTATGTGGTGTGCAACAAGAAGGCATAATGCACATTCTATGGAGTGAGTGACAATGAATTTTCAAAACCAGTAAACCAGGTGCTGTTACACTCTACAATCACATCAGCAACTTATCTTGCAATACCATTTTAGGGTTCATACTCTTTTGATAGTCTCAAATTCTATGATGTTTTCCATAACTTATAATAACATGATTTTTTAATGGAAAAATTAAGATGGATGTAAATCATGTTMATAAAATAAATAATAATGTTCTTTTAAATTTATTCAGGAWATAGTACTATATATGCATTTAAAAATTCATGACTTACTTGAAGCTTCTTAGTGTAGCGTTTGTACATGTAGCCAATACATTGGTCCATCATGCCGGTTAGCTGCAACAATAGCACTCCTTTTGGTGTACCAGCAAAGTTTAGCAGGTTATCTAAAAGTGAACTCTCCCAAACGAGACTAAAAAAATACAAAACATGGCAATTTTATTGGACGATTTAAAGTAAACTGGCTGTTGTGTGATAAAGACTCATATACACTTATGAAACAAAATACTATAAATTTCCATGTCAAACTAAAACTACATGTACATATAGCACAATCAATATATAATAATAGTTACACCTTTTAATTGAAAAAAGGCAGTTGGTTTCTAAAATGTTACATCATGAAAGCTTAGACTGAAAGGAGCATGGGAAAGCAAATATTATGAATTAACTGCAGTGTTTCACTCATTGAGAATTTGCTATTAGGTATCTAACTCTTATTTGAATTTATGACAGCACGTTCAGAATACCCTTTGGTGTTCGGTTTAATGGTAAGTATAACCTTTTGTGACCTGACAATGTTAATTCAATTTAATATAAGRCAACAGTATTATTAGAGTGCAAACATTAAATGTGTGCAACACTTTCCACTATTTACTACTGTACAAAATAGTGTTAATTAAACAATAGAAAACAATAGAGTTTGCATAATTTAGTAGTATTTAGTGGTATTTATGTTGCACAGTTTTAGTGTTTGTACTCTAACAAAAAATAGCACAAGGCACTAGTAAACAAAGTCAGTAGTATGATAATAACGGAAGGTATAATTACCCCGGGGGAGATTTACATTAGGTGGAGTTAATTAATTGGACATAGGAACCCTTCAACAAGAATTTTTAGGGAACACTAATTCATTAAGATCCTAATTCACGTAACAGACTGTGTGTGTATTTATCACTTGATGTATTTAATAGTTATTTGTGTCCTTTAAGTTCTCTCACTGAAAACAAACAGGATTTAAATGACATTACCTTTCAGCATTTTGGATTGTTTCATGTTCTGCAGAGTCATCTTGCTCACCTAWTGATGTTGTTGACATGGAATGTAGCTCATTTGCCTGGATTTGAATAAACAAGAACTGGAGTTAATCTTTTTCAGGCAAAAGTAATCGAATTACATTTGTTAGTTAATAATTATTTAATATTTAATGAATTTTTCATACTTCAAATGTTTTGATATATTTGTAAGGCTTCTCTTTCAATACTTAGAAATGGAACTTTTAGTGTCAGAACTATAACCATAACTATATTAGATGAACCTTACACAATACTGTAACTGTTTWGTAATGGCTTAAATGGGCTATATTTGTTATGAACAACATTCAAAATAATATAATAGTAAGTTTAACTTTTTCTGTTCAGAGGGGCTGCTACGTACAGAAACCCTTTGCCCCTCCTCTCTGGATATGCCCTTGGTTAAGTTCTACAGAACAATGAAGTATAATTGTTCTTTTTTTTTCTTTTTTTTCTTAGTCAGTACATGATGACTTACATTAACCCAGGCCTGTGCTACTTTCTCATGAAGTGCATACTGATTCAAGACTATTAGCCCTTCTGATGTGGTCCACAGTTGACGACATACAAACAGAAATCCTCCAATGACATCATTTGATAAAGGACAACACAAACTGTCAGATAATGCCTTCTTGGAGAATCCAGCAATGATATGTGCAGGGGAAAATCTAATAGAAAATAAAATACAGTTTTCTCCACAAAGTCATTCTTTAAGGAAAAAGTTGATTCATATCATCTAGTTCTTTCAATTCTGTATTCTAAATATACAGCACAACAGAATCAAGGACTCTTACCTGCTTCTTTGCCATCGTTCCTGTGACTCCCCATACAATAGCTGCAGGCGACCATTCTCTGTCGAAGCTAAAGCTGCCAATACATCAGATATCAAGAGCAAGACACTCTCAGTGTCTGACTCCTCATCACTGTCAAGATCCTACAAATGGCAGGTTAATTTATCAATGCCAACAAAGTTGAAAATAATATGAGCATATGARTATTTGAGCTTCTGGATTGATAATGAATGCATGAATGAATAAGTCAAGATGGATGAACTTATGAATACAAACATATGCACAAATAAATGAGAAACATTGATAATAGACAGAGAAGAATAGTATAGAGAATAAWCTCACCGGCAAACCATCCAATATGTTTTGGACTGGAGCAAGAAGAGTGGAAGTAATAGCATCCTGTAGTTAAGAAAAGTACATTCAATTGCCATGATATTATATGGTGTATAATTTATCAAGATTAGTGTCACCTTGTCCATTCAGTCTGACAATGTCCAAGTCATTAAAAGACCATTATAATCTTTAAATACTTAATTTATGCCAGAGTTTTATGCTATAAAGCTGAACTAAGATATTTTCTACCATACTATGATTCCTACTCTTAGCTGAATACATGTAGTACTGCTGTCCGGAACATTCTCTTAAAATATATGTAAAGCGTCTTGAGTTCATGGTTTCTACATTGACTCATAAAATGCGCTATTCTCATCACTATTCACTCTCAAGTTGCATTTTATGCATTAAATTTCTTGTTATKTATTATGGTCATGGTTATCATAACTAATACTTCCAGCTCACCTTGCACAAACATTCTTTAATGGCTTCACTGTTGGAAGCTATTTCCTGTAGAACATCAGAAACCAGGTCACCTGGTACAATAGTACCTATACACAAATAGTACATGTCATAGGATTATTATAATAACATAGTTAGATAAAAAGTATTTAATATACTTTGCCTGTAGAACTGTCAAACATACAATTGGATAACGTTATTTCTTTTACTATAAATGGAACGTTCAATTATTATGTGTGGAAAACTTGCATACACAATGATCATATACAAAAACATTAATATCTATAGTACCTAATATGTTCCCATGGCAAAGGTTTCAACTGAACAGGCTTCATTAATTTTGAAGGTGCAATATTTGATAAGAAGTATCAATTAATAATAATAATAATAATAATATGTGGTATTTATATAGCGCCAATATCCTCTGAGTTCAAAGGCGCTTCACATGTATAGATCATTTCACACGGACCGCTGTTTTTAAGGCGCAATTGGCAGCCACGCGGCTTACAATCATGATTACAATCAATTACTGTCGTGATATATCCTGAAGCTAGGTTTTCACTATATGACTAATAATGCAAACTTTAGCAAAAGGGTTTTATGCAAAAAACTATAAAATATTACAAGGAGCACAACAATAATCAAATCAATTTTGCACATTATTTTTCCTCTTCGAGCTCTTCTTTCTACCAAAATATTGGAAAATCTAAAATGCACTGTAATACTGGCCCTATTATTTTGAGATAATTGTGTTTCCTTTTGACTTAAGTTTGGGATTGCATGTTGTCGTTTCCATCATGTTTCAATTCCTGTATACACTTGTGCTTAATTACCATGTCGCATTTGCATAGTGAAAAAAATAATTTTGTAAAGGTACAATTGAAATAAGATTTTATGGCAATTATAGGGACATACCATCCAAACCTGCCTTAGCCATTGACTTTGGCATTGGTATACACATAATCTTGATTAAGACAACTAAAAGGTCTGTAACTGTCAAGGTTTCTAAAAAGCAAAATCATTCATTAATATCACATCTCAATGTTTTCATCACTGCTTTTGTTTATTATCAATTACTATCATTGCAATCAAATTTAGATGTGATAATTGCATCCTGTGTGGTCCTTTTGGGTCTCCTCTTCTACACTATATTTCTCTATACTATACACCCATTTCAAAAAGGTATGTCAGATAATACATGTATGTACAACCAAAAGGAACCATACATTTTGCCTATTATTTATGGGAAATGCATGAAATAAGATAGTAAATACAAATCATCATTTTTTCATCACTACCAATAGAGACCATAGGATACACCCATATCCATGTATGGGTATGGTTAACCTATCAATACTAGTACCTGTAAACAYGAGTAAACTACATCTTACAATTGTACACCAGAGAAATGCATAAGTAACCATATAGAAAGATGATGACACTATAAAATTTRGGATGTCTTCTATGAACTGAGAGATGCTCACGTAACTGTACACTTAAACCAAAATGGTGTGTCTTAAGTTTCTCTATAATTATAATTATAATTATAGTAAGTGCTTGCCTTGTCTGTCGGGGAGCTCAATGGGAAAGAGACCTCTACCATCATTATAAATAAACAGCCTTCCTACAATACTTAATGAATGGACAAAGAAGAGAAACTCCAAATCACGAACACTGTAAAACATGCCATCTTCAGAACCTAAAGGAAAGGCCGACTCAATCATTAATAAGCAATAACTACAATGGATCAAAAAAATTAAAAAGGGATTCCTAACCAGAATCTTGTCGTTCTTGCWGGTCTTGGTCTTCTAATATCTCAGGAATTGTTACTGCTGTTTTCAGTGTATGTGGAAAATCTAATATCGCTCCAACTGCATCTGAAAGCTGAAGCCAAAACAATTTACAAATTTCAACTAAAGTTGACACCAAATTAAAATAATTTTAATCAGCCATTTAAATAGACAAGTACAACTGCAGCCAGGTGCTGCTAGTGATAAAGTTGTTTTGTATCTAAGATTTCACTGTCAATGATATCATTCATCAGATCTAATTTAAATAATCTGATAAACATTTAAGTATAAACTGAACATCAGGCTATGAATGGGTTAATTACCAGTTTAGGGTGCTCCTTTAACTGCTTTACAACTTCTGTTCTGCTGTAATTCCCATGCTTAAAAAGGCCAAAAATAACAGTTAAGATAATTAACAATYATTCAATCATTCTGTGCTTCTTGACTATTTTCTCACCGTCCACTTCTTGAACCATGTTGCTAGAGGATCCAACAGAGACAAATAGTGTAGGGGTGTGATTAGCTGCTCAACTGATGATGAAGACTGGAATTCACTAGCATCAATTAGTGTGAACGTACTCTCTAGGATTTCCTCAAGAAATCTAACACAAGAATAAATTAAATGAGTGGAAACATAATATTACTGTAAGTACATTGTACCTCTACTCAAATGTAATAATTAGTAATGAAACATAACATAATGTATGTCAAGATAGATTGTGCAAAGAAATTACCTTTCTGAATATCTTGTCCAATATGAAGGGACTTCATGTTGGAATTCATTTAATAAACGAAACTGCAAAGAAAAAACAGTTGTCAGCTTTAATGTACATTTTGAGATAAGAGATGAATGATAAATATGACCAGGGACATCAACTCTCCTGGATTTGCTGGGAGACTCCCGGTTTCAGATTGAATCTCCCGGTCTCAAGATTTTAGCCCTAAATCTCCCGGATATGCACGATATTTTCATAGAATGATATTAAGTACTAGCCATCGTTGTAGTTGGCGTTGCTTACGTATGCTCGTGCTTGAAAAATATTATATAAACTGATTATGCAATGTCTAATCCCATTGATTGAAACAGAATATGACGTCATTTGTGATGTCATTCACATGGTGTGACGTCATACACATAATCAAAGGTAATTTCTCCAGATATATAAAGTTC